TCCAATGTACACGATTCAAGTTCCATATGAAATCTAACTTCAAGGGCTACAAATGATATGAATACACCTTTGCGAGAATCTGAGAGGAAGAAGGTGAAAACAGACGATGAAGTCAGATGATCTCTGCTGCGATTTCAGAAAGACACCTTCCACCGTTTTGATCATATCTCTTGATTGGATGATTCAAATCACATTCCGCAACTTAGGGTGGATAGAGGACTTCATTATCTACAACTTTAATGAAGGAAGAATTGCCAAATTCGGAAGTTAAGTAGGCAAGATCGTGCCCTCAAAGTCAGGCACGATCGTGCGTGAAGAGAAAGCACTGCGGAGTTACTGCCAGCCAGGCACGATCGTGCCTGGAGGGAGGCACGATCGTGCCTGCCCAAAATGCGCGTTTTTTCTCCGGAGGCACGATCGAAGGCACGATCGTGCTTGGCATCGTGCCTGGCTCCGAAAATCCTAATTCAGCTCAAATTTTACCCGATTTTTCTATTTAAACAGCCTGTAATCCCCCGTTTTAAAGGGGGGAGCTTAGAGAGAGTGCCTAGCACGAATTTTAGAGGGCTTTTCAGCCTTGTTCATCAATCTTTTGGGATTCTTTGTAAGTTCCACCTTTTTAATTAATGACAATTAATTCTTTTTATTCCAATTCTATTGATTCTTCAATTATGAATTGTGAGTAGTTTTCATTAGGGATTTGGGATTGATGAAGGGGTTGATCATGATGTATGGCTAGATTTTTGATGGATTAATTGCATGAATGCCGTTTAATTTGTGTTTGAATAATTTAACTGATATCTTTTGTAACCTAGAACGTGCGCTAGAATTACAATTGCTTGTAGAATAAATTAAGAGAGATCTAGTTTATTCTAGGACACCTTCACACACACTTAATCGTTCGCTAAGAGATTAGTAGCGATTAAGCGGCCGTAAGCTCGCTCGTCTTGGCAATAATTTAGGATCCTGTCGCATGAGAGATCAGCCTGGTCCCCTAAATTATTGTACTCTACGCCGCGAGAGCGGTAAGAACTTAGTAATGATTAGCTATGCTCAATTGAATTAATTTCATGTAATTAGGCCTGATCTGCCAGAAATCTGGTTACCCCGGAATCAATCCCTGTTCCCTTCGTCATTAATTAGAGAGAACCCATTTATTTTAATCGTTTAGTTGCATTTTAAGTTTTCATACCAATCATATCTCGCACGACGCATTTATTTTATTTATTTCTTTTAATCGCTGAATTTAATTAATTCTTGATTCCATTTTGTCTGTCCCTGTGGAGACGATACTCATACTTACACCACTATATTACGATCTATTTTAAGTGCGAGAAAACACACATCAGTGACGATCATTGAATTCACGAAAAGCAAGAACACATTTATGCATATTCCAATCATCATTAATATAATGTGCAGTAAGACCCAAATAATATAAATGATGATAAGTATCCTCCCATATATCGCTACAAATATTAACACGTCCATCAAAGTTTGCGAAAAATGTTTGTAATTTTTCTTTTTCCAAGTTATATTGCCTTATAACTTCTTTTTTAATCGTTTTGCGACTATAATTTCTAAATTGAGGATTTAAAGTACCTTGAGCATAATCTCTTAAAGCAAGACTTTCGTAAAAAATATAGGGTAAATTTTCTTCAACAATTAAATGAGACATACCAGTCAAATGTTTTTTATCACCATAAGAGAAATTCCCAAAGGGTTGAGAATTTGCAAACCTCGATATTTGTGTTTGTTTCCCCTTGCCTTTTTCTATTTTCGCATACTCCACAAAGTGTGCGGACTTAAGTTGCCTTGTCAGACTCCCGTATCCGCCATAAGTTCCCAAGCTATACTCTTTGTTGCAATGATTGCAACTTGCGTACCATTTATCGGTATTTTTGTCTTTCCTTTTTGTAAAATTGTTTTCAATAATAGGAGATTTAGATTTCTTACCAATTTGGGATGAAACCCCCTCGTCCTCCAACTCTTGCTCATCATCCGGGGTGCTGTCTCCCCCCCCCCCCCCCGCCCCCCCCGCCCTTCGTCCACCGCATCCTCATCCTCGAGCTCATCTTCGTCAATGGTTGTCGGGAATTGATGTTCTTGTGCAAAGCGTGGATCATTTTGGGACAATAGGTTTTGTAGTTGCTCGTCGGACATCGCCATATCATCTCTCCATTGGTAATCCTTTTCAAAATCATCTCGACTTTGAAAAGAAGACTCGGCCCGCACTTTACCTTTGCCTTTGCGTGAAGTAGGACGAGTCGCCGCAATCTCCCTCTTGCGGTTGCGTTGGAGATTACCCATATCTACAGAATGTCTACCACGGTCCATCTTTAAAATTGAACAAATATTAAATGATATCAAATATTTTATATGAGTACAATAGTAATAATAAAATGTGACTAAGAAAACTATAGCAAATTCGAACTAAAATATGAGTATATCAAATGTAACAATTTTTTTTTCCTTGAAAAAAAAATCGAACTACTTCTAATTAATACTTTAATAACAAATGTACCAATTAACTAATATTAATATGAGAATTGAGAAATGTAACAATTAACTAGTTTAACTAATATTAATATGACAAATGTAAAAAATAACTAGTTTTTGTACTTTAATGACAAATGTATCAATTAACTAATATTAATATGACAAATGTAACAATTTACTAGTTTAACTAATATTAATATGACAAATGTAAAAATTAACTAGTTTTTGTACTTTAATGACAAATTTATCAATTAACTAATATTAATATGACAAATGTAACAATTTACTAGTTTAACTAATATTAATATGACAATGTAAAAATTAACTAGTTTTTGTACTTTAATGACAAATGTATCAATTAACTAATATTAATATGACAAATGTAACAATTTACTAGTTTAACTAATATTAATATGACAAATGTAAAAATTAACTAGTTTTTTTACTTTAATGAGAAATGTACCAATTAACTAATAGGAAAATGAAAAGTGTAACACTTAACTAGTTTAACTAATATTAAATGAAAAATGATATGTAACAAGTAACTATTTTTTTTTCTTTAAAGAGAAATATAACAATTAACTACTTTTATAAAATGTATGAATGTGTAAATATATTATAAGTAATATATAATATAATGTTTATAGTATATAATATATAAGTATATTACTATAAGATGAGTAATACACTTATACTTAATACTTTTATATATATATATATATATATATATATATATATATATATATATATATATAGAGAGAGAGAGAGAGAGAGAGAGAGAGAGAGAGAGAGAGAGAGAGAGAGAGAGAGAGAAAGAGAGAGGAAACTTCATGTCAGGCCGGCCTGACGGGCTGCTCCGTCCGGCCGAGCTTGTTTGGGCCCCTTCCCGGTGGAATTTTTTGATGAAATTTTTTGAGCATGTTCCTCATCAAGTCTACTTTGTCCATACCAAATTTCAGCTCAAAATTCGATCGGGAAGGCATTCAAATCATTTTTTGAAGTTGACTGCAGTTTTATATGTATATTTTGACGCACCTTAACGTTCTTTGTATTGCATATTGAGGTTCAAAGTAGTGCATATTATTTAGCCATAAAATAGCAGTTGCACATTAACGTTCAACGAGTTGCACCCTAAAAAAGTTGGGTTTTATTACAAAAATGCCACCTTGCCTTTATGTCCTTTGGATCAACTCATCGGACGGTCAAGATGAGTTTGTACTTTGTAAATTAAGAAGGGTTTGTATTTGATCAGGAATGTTCAGGTCCGAACATTCCTGGTCCGAACAACATCCGAACATGGACATTTGGGGCCCTTCTCGGTGGAATTTTTTGATGAAAATTTTTTAGCATGTTCCTCATCAAGTCTAGTTTGTCCATACCAAATTTCAGCTCAAAATTCGATCGGGAAGGCATTCAAATCATTTTTTGAAGTTGACTGCGTCAAAATATACATATAAAAACACAGTCAACTTCAAAAAATGATTTGAATGCCTTCCCGATCGAATTTTGAGCTGAAATTTGGTATGGACAAACTAGACTTGATGAGGAACATGCTCAAAAATTTTCATTAAAAAATTCCACCAGAAAAGACCCCAAACGAGGATGTTCGGACGGAGGGTCTTGTCCGAACGTGGGGACCTGATCATTCTTGCTCTATTCTATATATATAAGTATATATTAACTAAATGTAATATGTAAATATAATCCCGGCGTTTGCCCCACTGATTTTGGTGATTTACCTTCCGGGTTCAAAAAAAAAAAAAAGTAATATGTAAATATAAGTAAATAACAATAGTATGGATAATAACTAAATATCAAGTAAATATGAATGTGTACAAGTATATATAGTATATATAATGTGTAAAGAATTATAATATGAATGTGTATAAGAATATATAAGTATATATATTTATAAGTAGATAATTAATATATAAGTAGATATAATTATTATATAAATAATATATATGTAGAAAGAATTTGGAGAAGATGAAGAATGAAGATGATTGAATATGAGGGAATAGAGAATTAGAGAGTAGGAAGAGTTGTAGAAGAAGAGGTGTAAAAAATGTATAGAAAATAGGAGTATAAATAGGTTTTTTTGTATACCCCACCCCCAAACCCCCCCTCCTATGCCCCCAACGGCTATAGAGCTGTTTGGGAACAGTCCCAACGGCTAGAAGCCTTTAAATATTTAAAAAAAAAAAATATGGCCTTTGTGGCCTGGACCAGGCCCGAACCGGCCGAGCCGGTTCACGTTTCTGCAGGCCCGAGCCCGGACCGCTTTCAGACCGGGCCGGTTCACGTTTCTGCAGGCCCGAGCCCGGACCGCTTTCAGACCGGGTCGGTTGGCCCAAACCAGCATCCAGACCGGTTACCGGGCACAAACAGTACCATTCCAGGCCGGTTGGCCCGACCCGAGTCCATCCATAATCTAAACTCACATTATCTTACTATCTGAGCTATATGAAAATTTAAAAAACATAAATATTGTTTAAAAATGATCCACCCTTTTATTCTAGAATTAACTTGAGTTTTGACCCCTGAGACATTTTTCTAGCTCCGCCTCTGCCCACATGCCTGTTCAAAACAGTTCTAATCAGTTCTTTTATTGGGGGGGGGGGGGGGGGGGCAAGGAGGTGAGAATGAATAAACTACATTGCTACAATCAAATCCAATGTCTGGTGTAGTAAAAAATATCACAGAATGATCATCCCTAAAAAGGGAAAAAAGAACAAGTTGTTCCATGGAAGATTTCAGTGACCAAAAACAAAATATCATGCGAAGTATCAGCCACAGCCCACAAGAGACTGTTTATTACACGAGAAGTCCCCTTTGTGTGAAGACATCAAGCATTGTAGTTCCAATTTTGGCTGGAGATTCACAGACAATCACACCAGCTGCTTTTAGAGCCTTGATTTTGTCTTGAGCCGTACCCTTCCCCCCTGAAACTATAGCTGCATATGCCCAACCAAATAGATTTAGGTCAAGTCAAAAATCCTACATAAGCTTGAGGAAACAGATTATATTATAATAAGGATAAAGCAGCAACATTAACCATGAAGCACAATAGCTTTGATACTCTCTATTCTCTATTTCTCTTCCCACTCACCGATAAAGAGAGGCCACGTTTGACCATGATACAAGTTCCTAACTGTGGTAAGTAAGGTATGGGTAGGAACTCATTACAAAGAAGTAAAATAACATCACAATTACCTCCAGCATGGCCCATTCGCCGTCCAGGTGGCGCGGTAAGTCCAGCAATAAAAGCAACAACAGGCTTTTGAGTACCACTTTCCTGCTCCGGATGGTACAAATATGTCAGTGACTTAAATATGTAGAGATCAAGTCGGCAGACAGTATAACATACTAAAACATGAATAATCTCATTCGAACTTAGTTCAAATTTTCATTTAAACAAGGTTTTATTCTTTAAATTAAGGAGTATTTTTGGTGTACAACTTTTGTATACCAACAGCTTTTTCCTGAAATTAATACAGCCTACTTGAGCAACAAAAAAAAGAATTACAAAGAATAGACACTAGACTGCACAGGAAAACCTGGAGCAAAAAAAACAAGTCTAACCGTAATGTAATTAAAAATGTGCTGAGGAAATCTGCAAAAAACTGAAGCAAATAAAACTAATAATTAACTGGTCCTATCCCAGCAACTAAAATAAAAAACCATAACCCAACTGTGATAGGGACCTAGACAATACTAGCAATAAGAATAATAGTGAGTATTTGATATTGTACAATAAGTGGTTTCTAGGCTCAGTAGCTTAGTAACTAAGGCTGGCCCATTTAAGGGATGAGTATAATAAGAGCAGGAAGGGGGAAAAGAGAGGCAGGCAAAAATTGGATCTGGGATTAGGCCTTGGGAGTGTGAGACAACTCGAACTGTCTCAATCCTTTTTTCTCTTCTATTTTCTGTTTTCTGCTATTGTACGAGGGTTTACTGGGAGGACCTCAGATTTTATCAATTGAACACTAAATTTCTGTTGCTTTGTTGAGGTACCTACCATTGGTATCAGAGCAGTCGACCCAGGGAAGTTTCGATCGACAATCACGCAGGAAGAAAAAAAATGGAGCAAACGGAACATCGACTTTCAGAGAGGAAGGTGGCCGCCTCTGGTTTGCGCGCAAACCCGGAGAAGCGTTCGAACTTGGACAAGGAGAAGCTCATGCAACATCCAAGATCCGATCAGGATGCTTCACGCAGAAAACTGGAAAAGCACTCAAACAGGGAGAAACACTCGAACCAGGAGAAGTGCGTGAACAAGGAGAAGCTTGCTAAGAGCAAGGGAAAGGTAGAAAGTGACCGGGAAAAAAAATGGAGGATCTGGTTGGACGAGTTTCACACCGAGCTGCGTAAACAACGTCGCAGGCGAGGTCGATCAAGGACAGTTCGCCTGTGTCAGAATTCTGCAAGCAAGGTATCACCATCATCGCTAGCCACTTCTCAGTTAGAGTCATCGATCGGTTACCAGTTATCTTCGTTAGAAGATTCTACCAGTCCGCAGATATCGTCAGTAGTTGATGCCTTCACTTCGCAAGTTTCCTCATTCGCAGATTCTGTCCCTATCAGTTCACCGAGTGTGACACGATCAGGAGGAGACTCCATATCTCTGTGATATCCATCGAGAGCCCTAGTACGACGCGAGACAGATGAGAAACCCTCAGTTCGCAGGCTACATCGTATGAGGAGGATATACCCATTAACAGAAATCATATCCGCCCAGGAAGGGAGATTATCACTTGGTCCCTGAGAACATTATTAAGACTGGTATATTGATTATTGACAAGCCTGGAAATGAAAATGTGTACATGCTAATTCCAAATTCTCAAAATTACTTGAACAGAAAGGCATCCGATGAAGACAGATATGCATTGGTGGTAGCCTATATGAGATTCAAGGAGTCTGAGATGCGTAAAGACAAATTCATGAATGGATTAAAGGAGGAGATTAGAGTTGAGTTGAAACTATTGCATTCCGGGATTCTGGCAGAGTTAAGGGACAGGGCACTGATTTTCAGAGTAATCTTTGAAGAAGCTGGTATACACATGGATGGCTTTGACGTAGTTTGGCCACAGATAATTGCAATGTCACAGATAACTCATGAGCAGGAGCATCGAGATGCTTCATTTCTTCTACAACCTTTTGAAATGCTGAACGGTCCCTGATACGATCTGGCGAAAATCAAGTGAAAATGACAGCAGTATATGGAAGATTTAGGATGAACAGATTTGTAATTGTTTATTGAAATGGGAAGACACCGTAAGAGGAATACAATAGCCTATGGGACTGTTCGAGAAGCCCACTCTCCAAGTCTAAGTCCAACCAAATATCTGCCTACTTAATCAGCTAGCCCAGCTTCTATTTATAGTAAAAGTCCACGCAGGGACCAAACAGACCAATTAATAAGCTATTGGACCCCCCCAGACCTCTTATTTCCCTTCTTATTTATCTTATCAAAATACTGACTAGGCTGATGCCTATCATTACTCCCCCCCTAAACGACCACCTTGTCCTCAAGGTGGTTCATAGGAAGTAGCCATGATTCTCCACTCCAACTTCATTCTTGCTCCTCTCCCCTCCCAATACTTGACTGATTTCTGGGTTAGGGATTTCAATACCACCTCTTTTAATGTCACATATATGTCAGCCGCAGTTATCTTCAGTATGAAACATGAATTCATATCCCTTACTATCATCTCCAACTTGCCCTCAGATTGAATAAAGACTGATTTTTCAACTGCAACATTCTGTTGATCATCCTGCCCCCAAGGCTTTGGCAATGCCCTCATGAAGATTACAGTGTTGTCAATCATCAAAGCCTTATCCTGACTTCCAGCATAAACAACACCCTTTACCTCCACAGATTGTCCTTCACCAAGCATACAATAACCATCACCAGTGTCCTGCAGAATCTGAGTCATAGTGTTCAGTGATATCTCCATAGAATTCAAGTATGGATCTCCTTGTATCTGCTGATCTACCCCCTGAACCTTCCATTTTATACTCTGTTTCTGAAAGTTTATTTCTACATCACCTAAAGTAGTCAGCCACTCCATTCCCAATACCAAGTCAGTTCCTTCCAAATTCAGAAAGTAAAAGTTTTGTTTTATGATTGAACCCTGCATACATAAAGTCAAATCTTCACATCTTCCATCATTAGATAGCTTTTCTCCATTACCAACTTGCACTTTATATCCTGAAATGGTTTTAAAAGGCAGCTCCAATTCATCCACCAGTTTTTTAGAAATGAAGTTATGAGTGGCCCCACTATCAATCAGCACTTCCACTTGTTTTACCCCTCTATCCCACTTCAGAATTCCTTTAATCTTGAAAGCTCTCATGGTAGGTATCCCTTCCTTACTCATAAGTGACAAGTGCATGGATTTGGACTCCAACACCACTTCTTCTTCTGGAATTTCAGGTTCTTCAGAATCTGTTTCTTCTTCAGCATTTGAGTCTTCTACTAGCATCAACTTATAGTGCCTCAGCTTGCAGGTATGCTCTTTATTCCACTTTTCTCCGCACTTAAAACACAGCCCCTTCCGGCTTCTTTCCTGAAATTCTTCTTGAGATAATTGGGGTGCTACCTTCCTGATTCCTGAAGATTGCATATCAGTGATCTTCTTCTCCATTTTCTCAAACCAGGAATTGAAATTCCTATTATCAGTTGCATCTTTTCCCTGATTGTTGAATCCAGAGCTACCATATCTAGCCTTATAGCCCTCTCCCCAATTCTGAGATTTGCTAGGTACTGGTCCTTTTTCCTTCCATAAGAACATGCCTTCTTCCTTCCTTTTAAAATTCATTGCCTCATTTTTGTTTTCAATCAATATGGCCATGTCCATTACTTCAGCTAGAGAGCTAGAGTTGTGCATTTTCAGCTCCGCTTTGATTTCAACCTTCAATCCATTAATAAAAATGCCCTTCAGGATTTCAGCATCAATATTAATTTGGGGTGCTATCACCATTTCAAACTCGTCTCGGAATTCCTGCACTGTACCTGTCTGTTTCAGGCTTAGCATTGGTCCATAGGGGTTTTGGATCAAATCAGGTTGGAACCTTCTGATAATAGAGGTCTTCAGAGTTTCCCAGTTTCTTCTCTCAATCTGATGCTCCCACCAAATAAACCAGTTAATCGCTCTGCCCTCCATAGCAACCACAGCTGCTTCAACCTGTTCTTCTTCCTGAATATGATTTACTCTGAAATACCTTTCCATCCTTACAATCCAATTGTACGCGTTATCTCCAGTGAAAATTGGTATATCAATTTTCCTACCGGTCTGGATAGAAAACCGATTATGGATCTCAGGATCTCGTTGATGTTGGATGCGAGTATGAGTGTGGTTACCTCCAGAGGTAGTAGGGCTGCGAGAAGCTCGAACTCGGTGCTGAGATGGCGAACGCGATCTGGCTCGGATCCGATTCGGATCAGATATCGCGTTGATGGACGCAGATAGATCTGTCGCTAAGGCCGCTATTGCAGAACGAAGCTCGTCCTTCATGATTCTGTTTTCCTCCTTCAGCTCCAGTTGCACCTCATTTATCCTTCGCTCAACCGCATCCATGCGCAGCTCCATATTTGCTCTCGTTCTGACCATTCACCTCTGAACGTGAACTGGTGTATGTCACCCAGGAGATCCGATCACCAGAGGCGATGTTCTGACTCGCGCTGCTGAAACGAGGGCTCGGCTACAGCCGTCCTTCACTTCCGATTCCCCAGGAGCAGTGATGCTCTGATACCAATGATACGATCTGGCGAAAATCAAGTGAAAATGACAGCAGTATATGGAAGATTTAGGATGAACAGATTTGTAATTGTTTATTGAAATGGGAAGACACCGTAAGAGGAATACAATAGCCTATGGGACTGTTCGAGAAGCCCACTCTCCAAGTCTAAGTCCAACCAAATATCTGCCTACTTAATCAGCTAGCCCAGCTTCTATTTATAGTAAAAGTCCACGCAGGGACCAAACAGACCAATTAATAAGCTATTGGACCCCCCCAGACCTCTTATTTCCCTTCTTATTTATCTTATCAAAATACTGACTAGGCTGATGCCTATCAGTCCCTCAGAGAAAACATCTCTCAGTTTGGTCCACATCAATCCTCATGTAGAAGTCAACTCATTCCATAAACATTTTGCTACCTGTGATTTCTTATCTGAGGTGAAGGTCACGTACCCAGTTTTATCACTTACGTTGGCTACTGTATCCGAGGTAAAGGGCATGGAGAGCATTGGTACTAGTGCAGCAACAACAGCTCTAGACTCTTACACTCATTCTCTGAGGTTTCCCCCAGTGCATTCAAAGAGAAAGATACAGCTCATTGTCCAATTTCACAATTACATGATTGGCAGCAGCTCTGGCTCTGTGGAAACAAGATTTCACTTGATCACTGAAACAAAAATTGAAGTTTCCCTTACTTCAAGTGGTGCTGGTCTCTCTAGCTCAAGATCTCCAGACAGTAAGGCACCTTTGGGTATTAATCAGAGCACGGGGAGTATGATCAGGTTTACGAAAGTGGGGAAGGATTTACTTTGTTCTGGACTAGAGATGGACACATTATTTTAATGGATAACTAACAGTAACTCTAACTAACTGTTTTATTCTTCCTCCTTTGATAGACTTTTGTAAAGTATTTAGTGGGCTGCTTCTCCTCATTTCTATCAAGCTCATTCTGTATTTTCAAAGGTGTTTACTGTACTTCTAAAGCTGAGGAGTTCTCATCCTACACCTATTGAGTATGGAGTTGGAGGTGTGCAACCCATGAACAAAAGCAGAAAAAGGTGCCGCTAAGGCCATGCTAGATTTATATGATGTGATGCACCGGGATGTCCAACAGGTGAAAATGAGTGAGAATCACGAAACAGGGAAGGAGTTGTTCAAAGATAAGAAGGAAGATAGTTTATTTCAGAAGTTAAAATGGCCAAGAGATGTGGAGTTGAAAGCTCTCATACTTCAAGCTTATTTAGAAAAGGGTAGGTACGGGAGATTATGAAGCTACAATTTCAAGGAGTTTGGCAAAGGATTTCCTCTCTCTCTCTCTCTCGGTTTCATTCCTGAAGGAGTTAATTTAAAATCAACTACTTCAAGCTTATTTAGAAAGGGTAGCTACTGGAGATTATGAAGCGACAATTTCAAGGAGTTTGGCAAAGGATTTCCTCTCTCTCGGTTTCATTCCTGAAGGAGCTAATTTAAAATCAGTTGCAGATGCCCTGCAAACATCAATTGGTGATGGCAGAAGACAATCCCAGGATTTCCAGTTTATATTGAATCAGTTATGTGTGGTTATGTACGAGAGCAGTGACACTACTGAAGCTCATGGTGCAGCAAGCAGGGAGGTACTGGGAAGGAAGAGGCACAAGGATGAGGACGAAGCGGTTGGTCAGGGCTGTTTCCTACCTCCCACCCTGAGGACAAGGTGGTTTTCAAAGGGAGGAGTGATGATAGGGACCTACACAATACTAGTAATAAAAATAATAGTCAGTATTTGATATTGTACAATAAGTGGTTTCTAGGCCCAGTAGCTTAGTAACTAAGGCTGGTCCATTTAGGAGATGAGTATAATAAGAGCAGGAAGGGGGGAAAGAGAGGCAGGCAGAAATAAATTGGAGAAATTGGATCTGGAATTAGGCCTTGGGAGTGTGAGACAACTCGAACTGTCTCAAACCTTTCTTCTCTTCTATTTTCTGTTTTCCGCTACTGTACGTGCAGGGACGGAGATATCAATAAGGTTAGGGGGCCATGGCCCCTCCCAAGTTTATTATTTTTTAATACTCCGTAGTATTTTTAAGTGATTATTTTAACCAGAAACTGTCATTTGAAAACACTTTTTTCAGCTTTTTTAAGCTAACAGCTGAAAAGCGCTTTTTTTATGTAACCGAAAACACTCCCTATGACATCCAGCCCCAGAATTCTGGACATCAAGTGTACATCCACATTCATTGTTTAAAAAGTCCTGAGCCAGTGTGTCAAATAAATGGGGCATCCAGTACTGACCTTTATGAAGGCCGCAGCATCCTCTTCTGCAGTACCACCGATCTCACCAATAAGAATAATACCTAGAGTATGGCCAATGCATTCACAATTAGACATTGACATATTATGTGCTTGTAAGCTTGATTAATAAAATATATTCACATACTAAAAATTTAGCCAATTAAAAGTGAGAAGTGGAGGGAGGCCTTTATAACATGTACTACATTGAGAAATTATATGAAGAAAGTGAGTTTTATGCAATGAAATTTTGTTTACCCAAATGAAAGAGCCGAGGTATTGAGGAAAAGAACAGCTCATTGGATGGGAAAATATTCATTCATTCTCCCCAAAGCATATGCAAGCAAGAACATTTTATTAAAGTTTAACAAGGTGATAGGGGAAAGATTTTGAGCAAGTCATATCTATAATCTAATGGTACTCCATGCAACTTACTAGAGCACACATAAAAACACCAGTCATCTAATCATTTTACCAAAGAAACAATCACATATATATTTGTGAAATATTATGACACCATTATAATGAGATCACCGCCATTATACTGTGAAGAAATATTTACCTTCAGTCTGTTGATCAGCAACAAACCGCTCTAAACAATCAACAAAATTTGTACCGTTGAAAGGATCCCCACCAATCCCTACACAGGTTGATTGACCTAGGCCAACAGCTGTTGTTTGGAAAACCTAAAGTATTCCACAGGAAGTAGAACCATTAACAAAAAAGCATGCAGCCATGCACAAAGTCTTATTTCAAAATTCAGGTCACCACACAATTAATGTGTATAGATCACTAGTGTGGTGGTCAAGCATAAGGCAAAGATCCACAAATTGACAACTATAGAAGAATGAAGTTGAATGGCATGGCTGTTTCTTACTCCCCACCTTGAGGACATGGTGGTTGTCAAAGGGGGAGTAACGATATGGACTTGAGCATTTGGGGAGGGAAATAATAGAAATAATATTAAGTATTTTAATAAAGTGCAATAAGTAAGTGGGCTGGGCCTAGTAATTAGTTAAACTGAGGAGAAGCCTAATTGGAAATAATAAATAAATAAATAAATAAATAAATAAATAAATAAATAAATAAATAAATAAATAAATAAATAAATAAATAAATAAATAAATAAATAAATAAATAAATAAATAAATAAATAAATAAATAAATAAATAAATAAATAAATAAATAAATAAATAAATAAATAAATAAATAAATAAATAAATAAATAAATAAATAAATAAATAAATAAATAAATAAATAAATAAATAAATAAATAAATAAATAAATAAATAAATAAATAAATAAATAAATAAATAAATAAATAAATAAATAAATAAATAAATAAATAAATAAATAAATAAATAAATAAATAAATAAATAAATAAATAAATAAATAAATAATAAATAAATAAATAAATAAATAAATAAATAAATAAATAAATAGAAGTAATAGAATAGGGAGAGAGGAGGCTGGATTTGAGTAAGAATTGGGATCTGGGATAGTTGAGGCCTCTCGAAGTGCCTCGTCTGTATCTTCTTCGTTTCTACGTTTTATCTTAATCAATTTACTGTTACAATCTTAGAGTTCGTATCAGGTGGAGAGTTCAATCTAATCGAACTCAAAATCAAAATTATATTACCTCTGTCACACGACTCACACTATGTTTGGGAGATTAGGAAGTGGCATGCATATTACGAAAAGTAGTATTCCGTGGTTGGTACGAAATTTGTGAATGAAATTGCTCAAAAAAAAAAATGCACATAGACAAAGTTATAAAATAAGACTAAGTGACTAAGTATGTTTTCCTACTAAAAGAACAAAGGAGTAAAAACTTCCCTAAATATGAGAGCATGAGTCCTACAACATGTGGTATCAAGGTCAAAAACTTCCCTCAATCATCATTTCAATCATCATTTACCCCAGTGCCACAAAGGCTCCCACCTACGGTGGGGTAAGGGGGGTCGGATGTACGCAGTCTTACCCCTGTACTAAAGCACAAAGAGACTGTTTCCGGATGACCCATAATGAAAATCGCGTCCAAAATTGCATGGACTGACTGTTGCTTCATATCAAAGAAACGCAGACAGTTTGGTGAGCCATTTTGCTTTATTCCATCATATTCTCAAGTCAAAAACTTCCCTAAATGACTAAATTGTTTGGGATATGTTTTACTACTATTTATGGAACTTTCTCTTGTTGTAAGGTACACTGAATTTGTACAACACTTGGTATCAAAGTCAAAAAAGGAAAGATAGTACAGAGATAGTGGGCAGAGGAAATAATGAAACTATGAGAGTGTATCTTACTGCTTCATATGTCAATGTTCCAGATCGAGAAACAATCCCAATACGTCCAGGTTTGTGAATGTATCCAGGCATAATTCCGATTTTGCACTCACCTGGTTTGATGATACCAGGACAATTTGGACCAATAAGACGAGTTTTTGTCTGTCCCTTAAGTGCTGCTTTTACTTTGACCTGAATGCAGAAATTAACAACTCTGGAATGAGCACAGAGGACTCACTAATGGAATCAAGATACTGAAAGACAGGTGAAATAAGAACAAGCACAACTAAAGCATAAGCAGTATGTTTGCCCACATCCATTCTCACAAATCACAACGAAAACAGTATAAACACAAAAACTGAACCCAATAACCTTGAGGCATCAAACTGCTCATGCACATTAAAATTTAAGCACCTTTAAATAAAAAGCAGAGCTAAAACAAAACACTTGCAAGTAATAGTATGATAACAGTTTATGATTGACATAGTTCTTAGAGTATAAGTACAAGTATTCCCAATTACGGATATGTTTGCTAGATTTTAAACCAAACAAATGTTTAGCTCGAGCTTGAGCAGCTAAGTATTCCCAATTACGGATATGTTTGCTAGCTTTTAAACCAAACAAATGTTTAGCTCGAGCTTGAGCAGCTAAGTGAACTGTGAACGAATTATCAATATAACAAGATACAAATAGATGACGAACAGTTTGGTTCATTTTCAGGCTAACTTTAAGCTAATGGATACTCAAAACATTAATCTAGAAAAGGCTAAACGCACACACATTCCTATGGCTTAATGGGTGCCTTTTTGTAAAATGTTATTACAGTGCCTTTCCCTCAAAAACGTTCCACAAATGCATCATAGTGATTACTAATTCAATTCTAACATAAGAAGTTACATAATAAACTGCATTGTAGAGTTATGTTGTCAATGATCATTTGAGTATTCCTTACCATGTCATGCTGAGGAATTCCCTCTGTGATGCATACCACCAAATCTAATTCAGCCTCCATTGCCTCCATCATGGCTGCAGCTGCAAAGGGTGGCGGAACATAGATCACTGACGCATTGGCCTTTACTTCAGCTTTTGCTTCTGCAACAGAATTGAATACAGGAAGCCCAAGGTGCTCAGTACCCCCCTTTTTGGGGGTCACTCCACCAACCTAATCATTACCGAGCATATATGGAAAGAAATAAAATAAGGATGAGATCACAACAAAACAAGTCGATGATGGCAAATCGCATGTACCAAAATGAGAACAAAGAAGCCGACAAGAAGAGGTTTCTTAATAAGGGAAAATCAATAGCAGAAAACATACCATTTTCGTGCCATATTCGATAGCCTGTTCGGTGTGGAAGGTGCCGTTCTTCCCAGTGATTCCTTGACATATGACGCGAGTGTTCTTGTCTATGAAAACCTCTGGCAGCGGCGTAGATCCGAAGAATCGGTACTGCTGCTGCCGCACAGGAGATGGCGAGCCAGGTCTAAGCGTCTTCGACAAGTTTGTCATTAATCTCGTCGCTTGCCGAGCCATGACTTTCCCTGCCTCTCTCTCGGAGTCTCGTGTAGCTTAAGCTAATAAAGTTTTCTCTTTTATTTCTAGTCTTCCAGAGCATATATAGCAGCAAGTGGGGAAACGAAATGAGGCGTGACTCCCATTAGTTACATATGAAGCACCTCAACTCTCCCATACTCACGTTTCCAGATTCCAAGTTTCGGAAACTCGGACGCTTTTCTGAAACTTGAAAACTTCAAATTCATGTTTCGGGGTCGTTTCCATAATTAAGAAAAATTTGGAAACTCGTTTCACTACGATTCAGAAACCTCGGATTCCATTTTTTTTTCTTTTTTATAGATTCTGTGGTGCAAAATGAATTTTTTAATAGTGAATTTTTGTGGTATTTCTCAGCAACAACACCTGTTACATTTCGTAACACAATGTATTGCTAGACATGTATTACTCCGTACATTTTATATTTAATTATGTACTAATATGAAATAATATCAAAATTCGAACATGTAGAGTGATTTTATTATTTATTTACTAAACAAATTATATGAAAAAAACATGTGCATATGGAAAAACTTGTGTACATATATTTAAAAATATTTATAAATATATCCTTATATTTTATAATATTCACGCGTTTCCCCCACGTTTCGTATCCTATATTTTTCTGAAATTACGTTTCTCGCGTTTCCCGTTTCCCATTTCGCGTTTCCGTGCTACTTAGTTAGTTACCTATGTTCTCGGCCCCGGGGAGAGGAAGTGCATATCTTAAACTGGTTGTATTTAGTAGTGGTCACAAATAGGGGTGGGCAAAAATACCGAAATATTGGTATACCGTACTTATCATATCGAAAAATACCGGAAAATACCGGAATATTACTATATCGTCATTTTCGGTATGGTATCATACCGTACCGATTTACTTCGGTACGGTAACGGTAAATGTTTTCAAATATCGCGGTATACCGGTATAATACCGTACCGACTCGGCGACTCCCTACCCAACAATTACTTTTAATTCTAAAATATTGTAAAAATTCATTACAATTCTGAAGTCCAAAATTAATACTATGTACTTAAGTTGGTTATCAATACCAAAATATAAAAATAAAAGCTCAATTTCCTAAACTCACTGTAAGGGACTAAGGGCTTCTACTACATAACATTCAAACAAACTAACTCTAATGACTAATAAGTAATGTACCAATATCCAAAAATAAGTCCATCTTGTTCAAAGAGCTTGCGAGTTGCGATGACTGAGTTGCTGAGTATCTGACGAGTGAAGAGGGATACACTTATGTGACGAGTGTATCTAATAGGGATTCTGCGAGTCGAGGCACACAACTTTGTCCTAAAGTTTCATTAAAATATTTTTTAAAAATTTATAAAAATGACTAAATGCACAATACCATATTAGGAATAAATGATTTCATTTATATCCATGTTGTTTGAAAATATTTATTTTTTTTAGAGATCACTATTGATTTAATTATATCTATATTGTTCAAGTTATTTTAAGAGAATGCATTATTTTTTAATATGTGGCATGTTAAACTACTTCAATATACTAATAATAATTATTGTTCAATATTGAATTGACATCAATAGATTATTAATTGTATTTTGTAACATTTTAATAATAGATTAAAGGGGGAATTTGACTTTGCACCCCACTTTTTGGGTGATATTGGACTTTGCACTCCATTTTGAAAAAAACTTTGATTTTGCACCCCATTCCACTTAAAATTCCTTTGACTTTGCACACCATTTAGAAACTTTTTTTCACAAAATGGTATGTGGTGGGGTGCAAAGTCAAAGTTTTTTTTAAAATGGGGTGCAAAGTCCAATATTACCCAAAAAGTGGGGTGCAAAGTCAAATTCCCCCTAGATTAAATATGTCGCTAGTAACAACGATTTAGTATATTTCGTTAGTCTATGATAATTTGTTATATTGGAAGACATGCATGGTAATTTACCGATACCGTACCGTTACTGAACCAAAACTTCGGTATACCGAAACTTCGGTAAGGTAACGGTATATAAATTTGGTATACCGAATGTTTTGGTATGGCAAAGGTATGAGAGAAAATATTCGGTATACCGTACCGAACCACCCCTAGTCTCAAAGTAATACCTCATAGTCACTGGATTCTCTTAAATTAGCATTGATGCTACGCTACTTTAATGAGCATTGGAGGGGCAATTCTAAATACAACTCATTTTTTTTTCCTAAGTGCAACCCCCGTTTAAAACAGCTCACTTGGTTCTTGAAAACCCACTTGGTTCCAATGACATTCTGATGCTTTGGTCTAGGAACAAGTTCCCAAACTTGATTCCTTTCAAACTGTGTGAGCTCTTCTTGCATTGCATTGATCCAATCTGAATCTTCTAGAGCTTCTTCCACATTCATTGGTTCCATTTGAGATATACAGCAGGTGAACATGGCTTCTCTTCTGGATGATGATCTGGTTTGAACACCTTTAGAGATTTGTCCAATCACTTGATTAAGAGGATGATCTGTTAACCAAGTTAGATCAGGTTCAGACAATTGTTGTCTGGGCAACTCTGGTTGTTCATCTTCTGATTCTTCATCTTCATCTTCATCTTTGTCTATCAGAAGTGGATTAGCAGCAGGAGTTGAGAACACAGGGTTAACTGTGACTTCTTCTGATGGTTCTGAAGTCTTGTCTTCTAGATTGGTTTTCTTCAGGGTTTCTGATATCTCTTCAACAGAGGTGCTGTCATCAAACTTGACATGAATGGATTCTTCAACTTGTAGGGTTCTTCTGTTGAGTACTCTAAAGGCTTTGCTGGTGCTTGAGTAGCCTATAAAGATGCCTTCATCAGCCTTCTCTTGGAATACCTTTAGATGCTCCTTTCCATTGTTAAGGATGTAGCACTTGCATCTAAAAATATGAAAATAGCTGATGTTGGGTTTCCTTCCTTTCCACAGTTCATAGGGGGTCTTCTGATGATTCTTATGGATCATACTCCTGTTCTGGGTGTAGCATGCAGTGTTGATTGCTTCAGCCCAGTATCTGATGGGCAATCCTGATTCAGCAATCATAGTTCTTGCAGCTTCCTTCAGTGTTCTGTTCCTTCTTTCTGCAACGCCATTTTGTTGAGGTGTTCTGGCAGCAGAGAGTTGATGAAAAGTGCCATTCTGATCACAGAAGTCCTTGATCACTTTGTTGACAAACTCAGTTCCTCTGTCAGATCTGATTGTCCTGACCTTCATATTCTTCTCAGTCTGAAGTTGCTTTAACAGAGATGGCAACTTCTGAAGAGTTTCATTTTTCTTTGTTAAGAATAATGTCCAAGTGTATCTAGAATAATCATCCACCATTACTAGTGTATATCTTTTTCCACCAACACTGGGGGTTTCAACTGGTCCAAATAAATCCATATGAATCGGATTTAAAGGATTAGTGGAAAGATCTCCAGCTATGGGTTTGAATGAGGTCTTCACTTGCTTGCCCTTCTGACAAGCACTGCAGAGGGTCTCCTTCTTGTATACAATGTCTGGCAGACCATCTACAATGTGTTCTCTTGCCAGTTTGTTGATGGTTTTGAAATTCGGGTGGCTAAGCTTCTTGTGCCAGTCCCAGCTTAGCTTTGAATTGTCTTTAGCTATCAGGCATGTACCATCTTTTGCTGTTTTCCAGTCAACAACATAGATGTTCTTTCTTCTCTTGGCTGTAAGAACCACTTTCTTTGTAGTCTCATGCTTCACATAGCATAGGGTCTTGGTGAATTCAACCGTGTAGCCTTTGTCACAGAACTGGCTAGCACTCAGCAAGTTGAACTTCAATCCTTTGACATATGAGACATCATCAATGTTTATCTGGTTCTTGATCAGCTTCCCTCTTCCTTTTGTTTGACCTTCTTTGTCATTTCCACCGAATGTAACTCTGGGTCCATTGTATTTCTGGAATTCTGATAGGCAACTCTTGTCACCTGTCATGTGCCTGGAACATCCACTATCAATAAACCACTCTTGCTCTGAGATAGCTCCAACACACAATTCCTACAAAATTAGAAGGAAGATTTAGGTACCCAAGCAATGTTGGGTTGTGACACCGCACCCGAATGTACTTGAATTTGAAAGTGGATATGTATTTGATTTTTCTAGCGAAGAAATTGTGTATTGATTGGTACATTTAATTAATGTGCGATTAATTAAATTATTTATCGAGCCCATAATAATGGGAATGAGCTACCAAATATTTAGTTGGGTTATCATAATAATTTAAGGAGCCCAATAAAGGGTCAACCAAAGTTGATAAAAATATTTGGACAACCCGAATGCTATTTTGGTCCGACCTACCGAAAATAGCAGGAATAATTGGGAGGGACTTCCTACACCCACTTGGGGTATCCTATACACTAAATTAGCTCAAATAATAAGGGAGGGGGCCACACAAACTTGGCTTGTGCGTACATGAAGGGAGAGGAAGTCTCCATGAGACAAAAACAACACCCTCATGACCCCATCACCAAATTATTTTGGTTGATTGGCTTGGTGATACCTCCCCCCTATCCTCTTGCATCACTCGGCCAACACAAGGAGGAGGAGAGCTCAAGGAAGGCCTCTCACAAGTTCCAAGCTTGAAGGAAGCATCACAAAAGAAAATCCAAGGAGGAGAGGGTTGTTCTTGAGGTAAGAACACAACTAGTATTTCTTTAACTAGTTTTATGGTGTATGATTTTTAGGAAATCATATGGTGGATTAAACCATGAGTTGTACACGTTTAAAAGTGTATTATATGGTTATAAAGTGATGATAATTAACTTAGAAGAGTTGGTGAATCGATAGGAGTCGGAATCGCCGGAAACCGCCACTTATAGGGAGCTGTTCGTAGCTGCAGACCACGAAAGCCGCCCACCTTTGGCAAAAGCCGCCCGGCTTTCGTCTGCTGGTCAGATTTTCCACTTCTATTCGGTTTAGAACGGGGATTGATCGGAGGGCTTAACAAAGGCAACTATTGCAGCACTTCATAAGGTGAGGATGGCTGACTATATTGCTTATAATCTTTGGGTTAATTTCGTAGGATTACCTAAAGTAAATAAATGTGATTTTCATGGATTATTAATGATTAATAATGCCTAAATGAAAATA